TAGGGAGAGATGCTTCTCCTCAAGGAAATGCCAAAGTTGCATCTTTATCTTAAGGACATTTGTTCTTGTCTTTGGGACACCGCAAATGCTTAAAGCAGGCATACGATGCATGCTCAGTGTCCACATCAGGCCCTTTTGTAGCAGGGTCGGGGGTGAGTCAGTGGCCTTGCTGGTCGGAGCTTTCCCACCAGCCTGTGTTGGGCCTTGGGACACTGCTTACAGGGAAGCAGTGATGATGATAAGGAAATTTGCAGGCAAGTGACCTTGCTGTTTGTCTCCATGGAAGATAGTGGATTCTGGAGCCAGGGAGCCAGGGAGTAAGCAGGGAAAGAGTACTTTGGTTTTAACCCCACATATGCTGGGTTTAATGTCTGGGAACAGATATCAGGGCTGGTGCCAGTTCTAGGTACCTCATATGAGTGGAATCATACAATGTTTGTCCATTCGTATCTGGCTTACTGCACTTAGCATAATGCTTTCAATGTTTACCCATGTCATAGCATGTCTCAGAATTTCATTCTTTTCATGGCTGCATAATATTCCATTGAATGCATATATCACATTTTGCTTATCCATTTATCCGTTGATGGACATTTAATTTCATTCCACATTTTGGCTGTTGTGAATAGTGCTACTGTGAACATCGGTGTACAAGTTTTGTGTAGACATATGTTTTCATTTCTCTTGGATGTATACCTAGGAGTGAATGCTGGGTCATATGGTGATTCTCTGTGTAGCTTTCTGAGGACCTGCAGACCACTTTCCACAGGGCCTGCACCATTTCACATCCCCCTAGCAGTGTGTGAGGGACCCAGTTCTCCACATACTCTCCAACATTTGTTCTTGTCTGTCTTGTTGATTCTAGCCACACTAGAGGGTGTGCAGTGGGATCTCACTGTGGCTTTGATCTGCATTTCCCTCATGACGCTGAGCCTCTTGTCATGTGCTTATTGTGCGTGTATGTATCTTCTTTGGCGAACAGTCTATTCAAGTCCTTTGACTATTTTTTTACTTGCGTTTGTTTTTTTATTGTTGAGTTGTAAGAGTTCTTTCTCTATTGTGGATATTAATTCCTTATCAGATATATGACTTCTGACCACTTCCTCCCATTCTGTGGGTTGTTTTTTCACTCTTCTGATAGTATTCTTTCATGCACAAAGTTTTTAATTTTAATGAAGTCCAGTTTCTCTCAGTGTGGTTTTAATTGGCATATCACTTCTCATGAGAGAGGTTGAACAAAAGATGTATTTTTCCATTACAGAAGTTTACAATCTGGTTAAAGTAAGCAGGAGTATAACGCCATACATTCTGATGGTATAGTCCAGACTCTAGTTCCTCATCCGCACGGTGGAGCAGTTAGACATGTGTAACAATGAGAAAATGCTCAGGATAAATGGGAAACCAAAAACACTTGTCCCACTGCATTCCATGGTCTGATGGCTCCTCTTTCAGAGACCACTTCTTGATCGCTCTTAGACGCAGTACCTCTGGCTTGTGGAGACTCTTCTGGTGGCTCTACGTTGGAGGAGGTCGTGGAGAGAACATGATCACCAGTTGACTGAGAACTGGACCTGGGCGGTCAGAGGCTCCTCACCCCTCCCCTGTGCTTGGAATGGATGCTATCCTTGCTGTTCCCACAGTGGGAGCCGTCTTCAAGGATGCAGCTCTGAGAGAGCACTGTGTTATTGACGCCATCTGGACGGGATGCATGACTGAACCCCGTTAAGGTCTCTGTCTAAACTTTCAAGATTTGATGGCAGTACGGAGATCTACTCGTCTTGGCGGCCGCCCAAGACAAGCCTCGTAAATAGGTTCCCCTGCTTATGAAACTGCCACCTGCCAATCTGGAGGGCTCTGCCTCGTTCCTCAGTCTCTCCTGGCCCTGCGTGTACGGGGCTGGTTTTGGGACCAACATTCCAGCCGCTACCTTCCTCCAGAACGTGCTCCTCCTGCTGTTCCCGTCCGGGTCAGCAGTGGTATCGAACCTGAAGTGAGTTGGCTCACCCGTCGCACAGCAAGCCAGTCTCTAACACGAGATGTAGTGGAAGAAAGTAAGAATTTTATTGCTAAGCACTGAGCAAGAAGAACGGGCGGCTAATGCTATAATCCCAAACTCTGAAAAGCTACAAGCGAGGGTTTTTATTTGGGGTTTTAGGTAGGGGAGGAGGGCATGTGGCTTTGCTGGCTGGTTTTCCTACCAGCCTGCATCTGGCCTTGAGAGGCTGCCTGCGGGCGAGGGAGATAAGGAACTCCACAGGGGGCTGTCCTTGGTGGATGGTAGATTCCAGTACCCAGCAAACTCTGGGAAGCTTCAGTTTCTTGATATTCTCCAGACATCAGTTTCCCTGTAATAGACTTCAAGGACCCGTGGCGAGTCAGAACTTTAGTGTGAGCATGAGGCCACCAGGGCTTTAACAATTTCTCATTTCTCTTTGCATGTAAAGCTCGCAGTCAAAGGTTAAAGAAACAGATATTTACATATGAGTGCTTTTGGTTTTAATCTCATATATGCTGGGTTTAATGTAGGGGAACCCATATAAGGGTCAGTAACAGGAGCACCATCATCCAAGCTAGAAAGCCAGCAGCTCCTCCTCTCCCTTGGCTTCTGCATCCAGTTAGCCCTGGAGTCTGTCAGCAAAAATATCTAGAATCCAAGAATTTACTTGGGGGATGGCCCCGTGGTGCAGCAGTTAAGTGGGCACCTTCTGCTTTGGCGGCCCGGGGTTCACTGGTTCGGATCCCGGGTGCGGACATGGAGCCACTTGGCACGCCATGCTGTGGTAGGTCTCCCACGTATAAAGTGGAGGAAGATAGGCACGGATGTTAACTCAGGGCCAGTCTTCCTCGGCAAAAAGAGGAGGATTGGCAGCAGTTCGCTCAAGGCTAATCTTCCTCAAAAAAAAAAAAAAGAAAGAAAGAAAAAAAAAGAATTTACTTGGGAAAACTTTGTTGCTCATGCAGATTGCAAATGGGGAAGATGCAGCCTCTGAAACAAACTGAAAGTATGCTGCATGAGGGCGAGAGATGGCAGAGCTCCTAAAGGCACAAACCCCAAGGCACAGGGATTGTTTTGAAAGCCCTCTGGTTGGTCAGTTCCCCTAGACATACTATTGTTCTAAAATCAGTGATATCCAACATCCAGCTTCCAGCCATCGTAAGGAAGGGACGCTCAGTTTCAGGTACAAGTTGTGCTGTTCCTGAGAACAGAGGATGTGACCACATCCTGGTCCTGGTGTGGTCTCTTGATTCTGTTGGGTTTTATGTCCTGCTTAGCCACACAGAGTCTGCTACGTCTTTTGATTTAGGGTCCTCTATCTTTGGTTTTAACGGCACTCGTCTTCCCCTCTTGACCTCCACGGCCTCTCCCTCCTGCTGCTCTCCATCCTCCCGGCCACTGCTACTGCTCACACCCGGCCCTGGACTCCAGCGACGGCCTCCTCTCCAGGCCCCCGGCCCCAGGGCTTCCCCTCCAGTCTTCACGGGGCCTCCAGAATGATTTCTAGGTCCTCCTTTAAAACTTTTTTGTATCCTACAGAGTACTGGGTAGAATAGTGGCCCCCTAAAACACCTCAGAAGGTGACCTTATTTGGAATAACGGGTTTGCAGATGTCATTAGGCAAGGATCTCCGAGTGAAATCATCATGGATTTAGAGTGGGTTCTAAATCCAATGACTGGTGTCCATGTCAGAAGAAGAGACAGAGACATGAGGGCAAAGGCCATGGGAAGATGGAGGTAGAGAAGGGAGAGATGTAGCCACAACCTAGGAATGGCCGGAGCCGGGGGGAGGCACTCATTGGAGGGGCCACAGAGCACCATGTGGGCTGGAGGTTAGCACAGCGTTGGCACAACTTCTTAATAGGAAAAAAATGGAAGAAACCTAAAGACCCATCTATAAGATATTAGTTAAATTAACTGTGAAATAACCATGCATTCAAAGAGGGACTCTTTATTCTCCTGGTTTTCAAGGCACAGGTGCCAGGCAGGCTGCATTGTCAGCAAAGGCAGGTAAGCCGGTAGATGCAGAGATACAGGTATGGCAGGTGGCAGATGGGGGCGGGGGTTGGATGGGTGGTGATGGTGAGGTTGAGGAGCATTTTGTATACGTCAGGGACCCTGGCCCCTCCAGGCCCTCCGTCATCAGGACTTGTCCCCAGGAGGCCTCAGGCCCCCTGGTGCTAGCCCTCCCCAGGATGCCCCTCAGTCACTGCCCTCCCAGGCCCAAGTGTCACCTCTGATGTGGGCTGGGCGAGCCGAGGAGTCAAAAGAAAGATTTCTTGGACTCTCAAGGTCTGGCAGTAGTGCTGTTTTATTCAGAGAACAGCATGGGGACAGGACCCATGGGCAGTGAAGAGCTGCAGTGGGTTGAAGGTAGGGCTAAATTTATAAGGCATAGGTCTGTGAGTTATTTCTGTACAACGCAAAGGAAGGATCATGTACAAAAGTTGTTGAAATGGTATCAGTACAGGTGGGGTCTGGTTATCGTGTGGTCCTACAGCTTTAGACATGAATCAGGTCAGGACGTCCTATGCTTCCCGGAAGATGATATAGATAGGGATGTAGGCCAGGATGCCTTGGACTTCCCTCCCTGGGGCAGCCTTGATCCTGATGAATGTCCTTCAGGAAGTCTCCCAGGACTGAAGGCTCCTGGCTGTGAGCTCCCAGGGGAAGGGTCTTCTGCCAAAAACGTTGACTCTCGGGATTATAGCGAGTAGGGGGTGCAGGCTGCAGACTGTGGGGCAGGGATTGGACACAGGGGCTGGACCTGAAGCTGTATTTACACAGCGAGCCTCTTCTCCAAATGGCTCAGAACTGTGGAGTCTTGCGCCCCACTGCCCGCCGCCTCCTGGCATTGCCCCTGCTCTCTGGGTCTTTCCCTTCCGTCGCTCTCTACCAGCCACACAGGAAACCCCCCCCCCCCCCCCCCGGGCGCTAGGCCTCTCCCTGTGTCCCTCACCTCAGATGGAGTCCTTAGATGTCTCACAGACTAGGTACATTGTCACTAGTTTTATTTGAGAAAAGGTGAAAAAGAAATGAAATGAAATGAAAAGCCCCGTGAGAAACTCAGAAACTGTCACGTGGTTTCCGGGACCCCCCCACCCCCACCCCGCTTTTCTAAGAAGTCATTGTAGGCACAGCAGGGAGGAGCTGCAAACGCCACTCAAAAGGCATTTCGCGGGCGGGGCTGCCAGAGCCTGCGGGAGCCAGGGAGGAGAGAGCTTGGCCTCCTTCCCGAGGTGAGTGGCAGGGGGACCAGGGTGGGAGAGCTGCTCCACCAAGAGGTGGGGGTCCCACAGGAGGTCTGTTATCAGGGATGGGGCAGCAGGCTTAGCCTCAGAGAAGGGACAGGGTCTCTGCAGGGACGAGGTTGAGGCTGGAGAGGGGTCCTCAGCCAAGGGAGGCCTAGGCGGAGCAGTGGAAAGTTTTGCATGCTGGACAGAACTTCCTTCTAGAAGGGGCAAGGGGACAAGGTGAGGGCCAGGGTCAGCCAGGACATGGTGGCCCTAGAACACGTGCCTTTGAATTGGCTGAGGTGTGGGGGAAGTTGGGCAGGGGGCATCAGCGAGGGGAGGGCTGAGCGACCACAGAAGCTCCGTCAGAGGACAGGCAGTTTCCCCAGGTGGATCAGGACACAGAAAGACGTGAGGGCTGCCCCCAGGTAACATGGTCACCAGCCATAGGCCAGAGGGGCCCTGGGAGGAGTCCAGCCAGAGCTGTAGCCTGAAAAGGGTAATGACAGGGGCAGGACAGTCCCTAGCCAAGTGGGGGAGGTGGGACAGACTGATGGCCCTCCTCTCAGTTCCAGCCTCCTGCCGAGGCCTACCCTCTGGACTCGGGCAGAGAAAGGGTGTGGATAGTGGCCTGGGGTCAGCAAGGGGCCCTGTGTCTGGGGAACGTGGTCCTGGCAGGGCTAGAGAGCACTGGAGGCAGTGGGTCCCCAACCCAGAGTCGTGAGGGGGATGTAAGCCCTTCCCCAGGCCTTCAGAGGGGACTCTGGAGCCCGAGGCTGAGTGGGGCCCTGGGACCTCCACAGACCCCCACGGAGAACAGGCCTGGGCAGCCCTGGTGGCTCCGGGCAACCAGCACTGGGGCCTCTTGTCCAGGTGAAGCCCTCCAGACAGGGTCCCTGTGAGGCTGGGACCTGGCCTGGACCTTTGGGGAGGGTCTCCCGGGGTCCCAGGGGGATCGGAGTGTGTGGGATGGAAGATAACAGGATGCCCTCCCCACAGGGGTGGTTGCGACAACTTGAGAAGATGGTGGCAAGAGAAAGGCTTGGGATGCACTTCACCATGGTGAGAGACAAGAGTCCCCTTCACAATCAGCCCAGCCTGGCCCTGCCCAGCCACCAGCTACTGGGACAGGAACAGGATCTGGTCATTTTTACCCTCGACCGGGTGCACCCAGAACGACTAAAGACCCCAGGGGCGAATGGAGGGGGGGCGGTCCACTGCTTCCTCCTGGGCTGAGACCCCAGAATACCTTGGAGGTGGGCTCCCCACCTATGGTCCTGGAGTTCTCAGGGGACCCAAGGGACGCCTCATGCCCCATCCCCCGTCCGGGGTCCCAGGCCTGGCGGGAGCCATGCTGGGGGAGTCAGAGGGATCTCGACTTACAGAGCCAGAGGCCCCCCTGCACCATACCCTGTGAGTGCTGCCAGCTGCCAGCCCTGCTCTAGGTGCTTCCGTGTGTCCACCTGCTTCCCCACCCGCCAGCCCTGGCAATGGAGGGCGCCGTCCCCAGGTCCTGTCATGAGGCAGGGCTCCCAGGGGCCAAGGGACCACCCTGAGGCCACAAGCTGATCACTGCATCTGCCTCAGAGCCCCTCCTTGCCACTGAGCCTGGTGGGATGGAGCCATCTTGAGGGTCCCTATCTGTTCTCTGTTTCCTGCTCCCCTGTCGGCCTGGGACCCTGAGCCCCACAGTCCCCTCACCATCTCTATCCTGTGGGTTGGCTAGGGTCACTGAGGTCACCCCACCCCACTCTTCCCCTATATAGAGTGATGAAATCCTGGTGACCGCTGCATTTGTGCTGACCGCGGGCCTTGTTGTGTTTAAGCTGCCTCCGGCTTGTGCCACACTTTTGGTCCCGATCTTTGCCTCAAAGGTCATCGATTACTTCTCAGAGAAGGTCAGTGCAGGCCTTGGATTAGCACCTGGGAGGTCCTGGGCTGGCTCAGGGTGTGGAGGTGGGGGTGCTCGAGAGTATGAGCGAGGCCCGGGAATGGTTTGGGGGAGGCGCAGGTCAGGTCCAGAGAAGGCAGTGGGGCCCCTCCCAGCTGGCCGCCCTCACGTTCCTCCTGTCGTCGGCTCTGGGCCCTCCTGACCCCTCTTCTCTTGCAGAAAAAGAGAAAATGAACAGGAACTATTGACAAGAATCCTCTCTAAGCCCCTAAAGGACAGGGGTGGACCCACCTTCCTGCGGACAGGAATGTCATGAGACAACATGCTATACACGGTTGACATTTTGAGTGTGAACAAAGTCAACTATGGGCAAAAAAAAAATCTATTGAACAACATTTATTGAGTGCCTACTGTGTGCCTGACTCATTTCCAGAATCCGACTCTGAATCCCAGGATTCTGGGTCCTCTGAGACCCAGCTCCAGTGCCTCCAGCCATGGGGCCTCCCTGCCCCTGACTGGCTCCCAGCTGGCCCTTCCCCAGGGCCGCCTGGCCTGGGCCATCTCTCAGACCCCCGGATCCTCTTCTGGGTCCTCCATGACCTCAGGGCCTGGAAAAGGAAGGACAGCTCTGTGCCACCCCCGTTCCCCTTGCAGGCAGGCACCAGCACGTCCCATGCCAGATGTGCAGGATTGCCAACCCCAAGCAATTCTCCAGTTCTCTCTGGACACCAAGGGGTTTCCTCAGATTTCACTCAGTTTAGACATAACAGGAGTTACCGCAGACCCCGCAGGTTAAGGGCTCAGTCCCAGAAGACTGCCCGCACTTCAGATGCCAGTCACAGGTAGTGGATCCCCAGGTGACCCAACGTGGCTACAGACAGGGGTTCCCACAGCCCCTCTTTGGGTTCAATAGAACCAGAAGACAGTTTTCTTACTAAATTACCAATTCGTTATAAAGGATATGACTCAGAAACAGCCAGACGTGAGAGGTGCACACGGCAGGTGTGCGAAGGGGTGGGGAGCTTCCAGGCCCTCTCTGGGGACACCACCCTCCCAGCACCTCCCTGTTCACCAGTCCGGATGATCTAAGAGTCCAGAATTCAAGGATTTTTATGGCGGCTTCATCACGTAGGCATAATTCATCGTTAACCCAATCTCCAGCCCCTCTACCCTCGCCAGAGGATGGGCCGAAAATTCCAAGTATCTTATCAAACCTCAGTCTATCTGGTGACCAGCACCCACCCAGGTGCCCACTCAGTGTCGCCTCATTAGAACAAAAACACTCCTGTCACACAGGAAATTCCAAGGGATTTAGGAGCTCTGTGTCAGGATCTGGGGTCAAAAACCAAATATTAGCACAAAAGGAGATCCTGGCAGCCCTATCGCTCAGGAAATTACAGGGCCTTTAGGGGCCGGGTGTGAGGAACCACAGGCGGAGACCCGTGCATGTTTCTTCTTATGTCACAGGATCCCATACCCCTGGCCTCTCAGCCTGGAAAACCAGCCTCTAGCCTGCTCACCAGGTGGGTCACTGAGGTTTGCCTTCCAGCTGCCCTTGACCTGAAAGGGGGTGGTGGGACCTCCAGCAGGGACGAGGCTACCATCACTTCGAGCCTCCACCGCGTCTGTCTTTCGGTTTATAAGACCATCCACTGCCCCCCCCGCCCCCCCCCACACACACACACACTGGCCTCAGCATAAGCCGAGCCCTCCAGATGCAGACACAGCAAATCCAGCAGGTCTCTTGCCGAGCTCTCTGTGCATCCGGGGAGTGGGTAACCTCCAGCCCCAGACTGGCAGCGCTCTCCACTGTTCTGTCGCCTCTGCCTGCACGGACTATGGAGGATGGACTCTAGCAAAGGGGTCAGCCACCCCACTTGCCTTGGACATTCAAAGGCAGACAGAGGAAAGGAGAAGCTGATGGTGGAAAACGGCCGGCTTCGGGGCTGCCCTGATTGGGGTCGTGGGCCAGGGGGAGCAGGGTGGTGACTAGAAGTGAGTGTCCTACGTGATTGGTTTGGGGAGCACGTGGGGATTTCTCTGTTGGCCCTGAGTTGGAGGCAGGCGCCACACATGGAGAAGCTGCGGTCCCTGGTGAGTCCTGACTGCTGGGGCCAGTTACTGCCAGGTGTGGCTCAGCTTCCTGGGACGGTGGTGCTGGAACTGTGGGTCACACGTCTCTATCAGCTGGTCTGGCCACTTTCCCTCTCCTGGTCCTCTTCTCCTAAGCGAGGTGCCCCCTGCTCCTTCTCCTTGCCCGCCCATCCTGGTCATAACAGCCCACACTGAACCAAGGGTCCAGGCCTGCTCTGTCCCCACATCCAGGACAGACCCAGGCGTGTCAGGGGCTCATGAGGACTGGGGTGTTAAACCAGGGACCAAAGTGTTGCATGGAGCCCTGCCAGGTCACCTCTAGGCTGTGGTCCCAAACCAGGGCCGAGGGCTCTTCTAGAACACTCAGCACTCCCAGCAGCAATCAGCTGTAAGCATGAAAAAGAGAAGAATTGCATTCTTCTGACCCAGGTCCCTGCAGGGGTGGGGCAGTGCGGACAGGAGATGGAGGCAGAGGCCCTGCTGAGAGTGGGAGGCGCCCCGGGCCCCAGAAGACAGGCTGACTGTGCCTGGGGGACAGAGACTGAGTGTCCAGTTGTGTCTGCAGCCTGGCTGTCCCCTGCCCAAGCAGGGCAGGAACAAGCAGGCAGGTGCCTGGCAGTGGTGGGGAAGCCCTATAGCACCCATTCCCATCCCAGTGCTGCACATTACTGTGTGGCCTTAGCCACATTACTCAACTTCTCTGGGCCTGTCTGTGTGACGGAATCACAACACAGCTCCCTCAGGGCCGCCTTAACTGTCTCCCCACACTACTTGATGCCCCCATCCTGTCACCGTCACGCTACTGAGGCTCCATCTCCCTCCCAGAATGTGCACTAGCGGAGGGGCAGAGCTTTGTGTCTGTTTCCTTCTCTCCTCTGTCCTCAGCGCCTGGCCCAAGGCCAGTGCTCCATAAATATTAATAATGAGTGAATGAATGAATGAATGAACGATGCATGAGGGAGGTTAGAGTAGTTTCCTATTGCTGCCGCAACAACTCACCACAAACGTAGTGGCTGAAGACAACACAGACTTTTTCTCTTGCAGTTCTGTGGCTGGAGGGAGGGAGGAATGGGGGATGGTTGCTTACTGGGTACAGAGTTTCTCTTTGCGGTGGTGAAAAAGCTTTGGAAATAGAGAGTGAGGATGATTGAACAACATTGTGAGTGTAATTAGTGCTGCTGAATCACACGCTTTAAAGTGGTTAAAAAGGCAATGTTTACATTATATATATTTTACCCCCAAAATGCGTATTAGAGATCTTTCTGACACCAAGTTGGGAGTGGCATCATTTTTTCATGTCTTTAGCATCTTCTGTCTGCTATATCATATTTGACCTCACAGCCCCCTCCTGATGGCCATCTCATTTATCTCCAGTCATTTGCCATTACCCAAAGGCTGCGGGGAACATTCTGGAACACAACTTGCTGTGCACATGGAATATTCCTTTTGGACAGACTTGCGCAGCTGGGCCTCGTATTTACCACATGCATGGATGCTGCCAAATTGTCCCCCTGTGCATAGAGAGTGATTGTGTCCATTTCCCGCCCTCTGTGTGATCCTGGAAATCATTGAACTGTTTAATTCCCACCCATATGAGGGGCACTGACAGGTGCCCTGTGTCACATATTGCAACCCCCATGGCGCTAAAGGGTTAACTCAGCAGGCCTGGCTTGTCCACACCCTGCACATTCTGAAGAAAGGACTGGCCCTGACTGGCTCCTGGGAGGAAACCCATAGCACTTGGACTGTCCTGCCTGATAAGAAGGGCTTTGTAGACCTGGGGCCTTGGGCCATGCCAGAGTTCCTGCCTACAGTGTGATTTTTGCTGGGGGCCATGGGCCACCCCGTATCAGCTAGACCTCCTGTCAGGATGGGACTGAAGACTGAGTAACTAAAGCAGCCACGTGGGTGCTCCATGCCTATGTGACCAAACCCCAATAAAATCATGGACACCAAGGCTTGGATGAGCTGCCCTGGCTGGCAATACTTCACGTATGTTGTCACACGGCATTGCTGGGACAGTTAAGTGCTGTCCCTCTGCCTCCATTGGAGGGGACCGCTGGGAGCCTGCGCCTGGTCTCTCCTGGATCTGCCCTATGGCCTTTTCCTTTGCTGATTTTAATCGCATCATTTCACTGTAATAAACCATAACCATGACTAGAACAGCTTTTTTGAGTTCTGTGAATCCTGCAAAATCATCTAACTTGAGGGTGGTCTTGGGGTCCCCCAAAAGTCATTTAGTGCTCACAACAGCCCTTTGAGGGGGTCCTATAGCCACCTCAACTATAGATGAAGAAATCAAGGCACAGAGCTGTTGGGTAACTTGCTCAAAGTTACTCAGCTGGTAAGCCATGGAGCTGGTGTTTGAACTCAAGCAGTCTGGCTGCCGAGGCCACACCCTGAACCACTGGCCAACATTCCCAGAGGGAATCTTGTGCTTTTAAGATGTATTTTTCTATTCATGAATGAAGTCAAGCACTTTTCCAATGTTTATCAGCCTTGAATTGGCCACTTTCAGTGAGGTATCTGTTTCAGGTTCTTTTCCCATTTTCTATTGAGGGTTTCACCATGTCCTTATTGATTTGTAGGAGCAGCTCATGACTGTAGTTATCTTCCCACTTAGCTTTTGGCATTGAAACCTGCCACTTCACAGTTTGGTTGTGCAGTTCTCTGTTCTTGCCACAGTGAGGACTAGAAAACCATATGGGGTCTCCTGGGAAAGAGCAGATCTCAAAATAGTTGTGGATGTTGAATGACTAAGTGATGTCATGAATGGCTAGAGGAACAAACAGAATGAGGGTACCTCTCCCGACAGGAAATGGCCCGCCAGACACACAGTTAGTGAAAGTCAGGGACAGCAGGAGCGTGGAGACTATGCTGATTTGTGTGAAAAGGAAACCAGGCAGAGAAAGGGGCTGGGAAGACACTAACTGGGGAAGGACGGCTTTCTGGGTACAGAGTTCCCTTTTTGGTGATGAAACAGGTTTGGAAATAGACAGTCGGGTGGTCCCAATGCCCCTCAGGACAGTCCTCACTTCCAGTGGATTGGACCACGTCCCTCCGAATATTTTCAGGGCAAAGACAACCCAAAGTAGGTGTACCAGTTCCCAGGGCTGCCCTAACAAATTGAACATCTGCGTGGCTTAAAACAACAAATTCATTTTCACATTTCTGGAGTTCAGAAGTCCAAACTCGAAAGGTCCCTCCCCCTGCAGGCTCTAGGGGAGCATCCTTCCTGCCTCTTCCAGGTTCTGAGGCTCCTGGTGTTCCTGGACCTGCAGATGCATCGCTCCAGTCTCTGCCTCCTCCC